CTTAAGGCTCAGGAACTGAAACATAACTTAGATCATGATGTCATCTGTAGCCTGCCACAGGTTGGGTTTATGTGATCATTAGTCAGGTCCAGGCTACTATCTTCTCTGCCTCTGGGTTTGCTAATTATCAGGGAAAGTCTAGATCTCTGAGGGGTATAGACAGACACACACACACACACACACACACACACACACACACGGGGGGGGGGGGGTATTTTAGAACTAGGATTTAAAAATAAATTTAATAAAAGTCACAAGGACCCTTGGTTTCACCGGAATACACACAGAGGTTGTGTTCTTAATAACTTTGAATTTTTCCTCTGTTACCCACAAAAGGAAAATAGGACTCCCTACATTAGCTAAGATTATAAGACTGTTTACAATCTATATACTGCCTCCTTTTTCAGCTTTATTTCTTGCGGCCTTCCCCCAAATTCTATATTGTGTTTGTGGGAAAAAACTCTTCTCTATTCCATAAAGGAAGGAAAAAATGATTCAAATCCCATGCTATTTGTTTACAAGTACATCACAGTTACCTTCTCTCTTATTGTCATAAACTGATAACATATAGAATGTTTTAGTGCTCTCTTAGGTTATTTCTTATGAAGTAATTATTTAAACGGAGGGTAACATTCATTTGTTGTGAATGAATAATAATAATTCATTACTGCACAGTAATTACTGCACGATAATCATCTTTTAAACCAATCTCCTCTTCTGTTCTAAAAAGGGTTCCTTTGAGCATGGTTGCATTGCTAATCTATTTTAGTATTTCCAGCATCTAACGTAATTCAGAGTATACAACATGTACTCAGTAATTGCTTATGTACCAAAAGAACGATGTCTGCATGTCAGATTCCATTAAACATTTTAGCATTCAATTTAGCATTATTCTGTAGGCTAAAATTTCTCAAGTAGTATTTAGTATTAAATATCCAAATAGTTATTCATAATAATGCTAAATTGAATGTTAACTAAGATAAACATGGGTAAAGTGGGTGAGGAAATGTTAAGGATCCAGGTAAGTATGAACGAAGCCTACACCACGTGTTCCTCAACCACTGCTCCTTGTCAGAGACGATTCAACTCATCCACAAACAGTCAAGTTACCTGTTACAAAACAGGTATGTGTTTAGTAGATTGATGAATTCATTCCAAGCTACACTTTACCAGAAATAAGTCTGCATACTTACTGCTGCAGTGTTCTGTATTCTCAAACTAGACCGACTCTTTGATTATCACCGACTTCTGTGTGATTTTCAACCTGCTCGTATGATGATAAATGTGGAATACCAATGATAATTCTGGCGTATTAAGATACCCTCAAATGTAGAAATAATACAGAAATAATGTAAAAAAAATATAGAAATAATAGTTCTTTCTTTCATGTCCATTATGTAGCGAAAACCTTGATATTGAAGACATGCAATATATGTAAAGTCATGAGATCTCCACTTCCACTGAATGCAGCCTCCTGGGCAAAGACACAATTTAAGTCCTGTTCCTTTCTCACAAGAATGCAAATCCAGTGTTTCTGGTCTTCATTTTCAATGAATTTATACATGGGTTGTCATATAAAATTAATGAAGGAGTTTTTCCTTTTGCAAAACAATGTTACTGGGAGTCTTAGTAATTAAGCTTTCTTCTCCTTCCTGTCTTCCTCTCTCAATGCATCAAAGACTTCTTAAAATCATTGTGAATTGCAAGGAAGTAATATATATGTAATTCTATAATCTGAATTATTTGATATAAATGGTATGATTAACAACATTTTCTACTCTAGATCAATTGCCTTGTAAACAGAATCCGAAGGGATGATATTTAGTTATAAATAAATGTTAGAAATATAAACTGAGGTTTTAATGTTTCAGTCGGGGGTAATTGTCTACGGTAATTTGACTGCAGACATAACTCTTCAGTTTTTTACATGGATTTGTCCCTGGATTTGTCTCTGTTTGTTTTGGGCTACAACAGCAGATTAATTCTCATTAAAGAATGATTCACTCAGAGAGCATCTTTGATTGCAAAGGGCATAATTTAACAAAATTTACACTAATGAAACTGAAAAATGACAATATTTTGATTGACTTAATATAGCATGAGAGAATACTTCCCAATATTTTTACAAAAATTATTGTTCTTTTTTGATTTCCACAAATAATAACCTATTGGTTTTGTCACTTATAAAGAAGTGAAAAATAACTTTTAAGGAAGACAGTGTAAAATCATTATTTAATATTCAGAGGTTTATTTGTATAAGTAAAAAAGAATCTATAAAATATGAACCGCAATATTTTCAGATATTTCTGTTTTGTTTTCTTTGGTAAAAAAAAAAAAAAAAAAAAATGGATGCAAAGAAAATGAGAGGCCATTAACATATGACTTCTCTTGCTTTTCTGATTACATAATCACCTTACTTTCTTCCCTGAAACAATCTTATTCAACAGATTAGCTGGTCCAACACAATTATTTTTAGAAAAGTAGAAGGGAGTATATTTTGTTTCCCCAAATTCTCTGCTAGTACTCATTTATTCAATAGACAAGTGATTTTATCACTTACAAAAATAATTTATTTTCATTATAAATTTTTTGGAAATGTAGGATAATACAAAGAACAACCTACAAATCACTAAAAAAAGATTTCATAATCAAGAATAATCACTGCTAATATTTGGCTTATTTACTTTTGGTCATTTTTCTCTGTGATTATACACATATAAGAACTTTTAACTTACAAAGGCTATTACATAGTTTGTAAAAGTTTGTATCACTTTTTTAAGTTAAAAGTTTCTCATAAAAATTATACTATATACGTATTTTGTAGCAACCTTGCTTAAAAGTGAGGTTGTCAATATCTGTGGCATCACTGTATCAGAGTGTCATTTATCCTTCCCCCAAAGGAGGAAACCAACACTTCTCGATACTAATAGTTTTCTGTGTATATGACGATGAATAGAGAACTTGACAGAAAGAAAAAGAAATGAACATGTGCAAAATCTGACCTTCTGCATAAGATGACCTCATGGTGAAGAATGATATGTGTGCTGTCCAGGACTCCCACCGTGGTCGGTGTGACTCGGTTGGGAGTCGTCCTGGGCACCAAAACGGTTGCTGGTTCCATTCTCTCCCCCTCTTCCTTCCTCTCTTCCTAAAAAAATCAATGAAAGTCTTTTAAAAAATAGACTTATAATGTACTCTTCAGGACCCCCAAGAAACCAGGGAAAGGAAAAACCCTACTGGCAAGACATGTATGCTTATGTCATAACTTATTCTTTTTTTGTGTTCAATAATTCCTGAAAAGGACTCCATGAAATCAGATGAATGTAATGTCTAAGGCCCAATAATAGGAATTAAATGAGATTAAAACCATTGTAAGACCATTCTTGTCTCTTCTTAGATCTCAAAATATAGACGGGGAAGTAAGACTTTAACCTTTAAAATGTTTCAAGTAGGTCACAGTATAATGGTAACATCTTTCCAAAGTCCATAAATTCAAGATTATAAAAAAATGAAAAAACATGGAGTATGTTATATGTTTAGAGACCTAGCTAATTGAGACACCAGGCACTGGAATCTCACTCCCTAGATTCTCCTTTTCTTTCAGGACTACCTCAAATGCATTTCCAACGGACCAATTTGCTCTGCCTTACTTTCTGATCTAATCATAACTCTATCAAGTTACTGCTGCCATGCTATTTCCTATCCTTAAATGTCACCTAACTGGACATGACTTTCAGTGACTCTGACCATTTATTGTATTATTAGGTAGAGAAAGTAGCTTCCATTTGCAGAGATAGAAATTTTTATTTGTTAAGAAATAATTAAAATAAGAATCCACTTTCTTTTTTATACTATTCATTCATCCATTCGACCATGTTTGCTGAGCGCTTCCCAAAGATGCTGTGCTCTGAGCTGCCCTTACCGGGCTTCCGTTCTAAGAGCGGAGGTCAATGTAACTCACTACATAATTATTCATTCATTATTACTTAAATGAAGTGCCACAAGGGAAATGTAGAAGTAGTTGTTCTGAGAGGATCTATTAGAGGGAAATAACGTGGTCAAGGAGTGAAGTAATATATGAGATATTATACTTTAGTATTTAGTTTTATGAAATGAAAAATATATATTTACATATATATAAAATAATTTTGGAGTGATGACTACTTAAAAGTGTGAATTAAAAAAAATAATAAGCATTGGCGTTGTTGAAGATAAAAATATTTTAATGATATGTAATACATTCAATGTTTAAAAAATGTTTTAAACATTTTTTAGCCTTTAAATTAATTATTTAAAATTTTTTACATTTTGTATGATTTATTCTTTTAAGTAGAAAATGAAGTTTTAATGTGAAAATAATGGAAAGGTTTTGAATGATATCATTATCTTCCTTTCAGAAATAACTGATTTCACATACTACACAGTACTTTTCAGGTCTCAATGAGATGCTTGTTTTTCTCCTTGTTGATTATAGTAAGTTCGGAGAACAAATCTGACTTGTAATTCTATTTTAAAATTTTACATGTAATAAATATATTAAACTACATCTCATGAATTCAAAACCCCATTTGTTTTGAAGGGAGAAGGAACCAGGTGATATGGATAAAATAGCAAATAAGTTTTGGTCATTTTACTAAGAACATTTTAGAAATACAATTTCATTTTATTCTCACAATAAATATTCTTTTTTTTTACTTTTGGGTTATATGTTTGAAAATTTTGGTTTTATTTTATAGTAGAAGACACTTAGACTGGGAGTTAAAAAATAATAATTTAAGTATAGTCACAGAGCTATTTAATGGCCATTGAGATGAAAATTCAACAAGTCATGAGGGAGCTCCAAAGCACATTACTCTTCGCATCTGCAGTTTGGTCTTTTCTCGGAATATTCCTAATGTCTCCATGTAAAATCTAGTATTAATGACCCAGATATTCAATTTTTCTAATTCAGTATGCATGATTTGAAAGCTACTTATACTATTACCATTAAATATTCTTAGCAATTGGTTTGGATTCCTGTCCTGAACCACAAACTCCCAGCAATGGAATTAAAATTGGAGACAGATATATGGTTGGTGACGTGGTATCATTTCAGTGTGATCAAGGCTATTCTCTCCAGGTAAGATTATTTTAAAACCATAGTTTTGATTTTCTTTGTCCTTTCAGAATATTTTAACAAACCAAAGGTTGTAATCTTCAAGTTTTAAAACTATATTGATCTTGGGCTTCATAGTTTAGCCTGAAGTCAAATGGCATTCTATTTTTCAATAAAACATTTGTATGAGAGAAACTGCTGGGATGAACTAAATTTGTTTTGATTGAAAATAATTAAAATTATTATCATTATTATTATTATTATTATTATTTTTAAAGGCGAGCATTTTATTTTATTTTATTATTTTATTTTTTTGTGGTATGTGCCCCTAACAGGAACCGAACCCTGGACACTCTGGTTGGCAGGCCGAACGACGCTCAACCACTGAGCCAAACTGGCCAGGGCTAAAAATTATTTTTGAATCAAAATTAAGTATGAATTTTTTTCTGTTCACATAAGATGTGACAACTGAGCTCCTGCATCTTTCGAATGTGAAAATACAAATGAAGTGCTACCTAAAGCATTAAATGACATTTCCATAATAATAAAGTCCCCAAATTAGTGAAAATCAACCGCAAATATTTTTTAAATTAATAGATTTGCAATGTATATTCAGATGTTTGTATTTATATTGATCATCTGTCATAGGTGTTTTGGAGGATCTCAAAATCATGGTCTCATAGAAATCCCTCTAAAGGGTAGACTTATTAAGAAATTAAGAAAAAATTGAGGCACAAACTATTTGACTTTTTAAGTAAATACCTTAGAAGAAGCTAAATTAATAATTTATAGTCTTTATGGTTGTGTTATAAATGATTAGTCACAGAAGTACAATCAGATCTTTCTGGACTTTATATTTCAATTTATAATTGAATATACCCAAACTGACTTGTTTTAATATTTTTATGAAAGAATTTTATAATTATTTAAACTATTTCACTTTGAAAATTAAAACAATTTATTATAAACCACTATATGTGCCAATTTCATTAGTGTAATCATTGAAGTATCTTAAAATATGTTTTGATAACAAATATAATTCTAGTGGAGTCTTAATTTTTAAGATATGGAGTCTTAATTTTTCTATCTGGACCTTATTCTTTTATATTTTATCATAAATATATATATATAATTACCTTTCTTATTCCAAAGAATACTAAGATTTACAGTAAAAGTTAAAAATATAAAAATGACAATATATATTTAATTTTGTTTTCATAATCGTCATTCACTATGCTATATTTAACTTAACTTTTTAAAAGATGTACTAGCCCTGGCCAGTTTGGCTCAGCGGTTAGAGCCTCGGCCTGCGGTCCAGAGAGACCCGGTTTCGGTTCCTTCTAAGGGCACGTACCTCCGTTGCAGTTTGTCCCCAGGCCCTGGTTGGTCGTGTGGGTGGCAGCCACTTGATGTGTCCTTTTCACGTTGATGTTTCTCTCTCTCCCTCCCACTCTATCTGAACAAAAAATGAAAAAATGTCCTCGAATGAGGATAAAAAAAAATAAAGTAAAATAAAAAGATGTACTGAACTTTATTGTCTTATGTATACAGGGTCATTCTCACATAACATGTATGCCTGGACCTGTAAGAAGATGGAATTACCCAATCCCAATTTGTTTGGGTAAGTTACAGAACTATAAGACATTTACAAGCTTTATCAAATTTTAAAGTTATACTCTTTATATGATACTGTCCAAACATATAGTTTGCTTTTTCCAGGTTTTAAATAAATAATACTTTGAGATAAATGTTTCAGATCTTTTTTCTTTTTAATTTTTACATTTTTTTTTACCCCAATTCAATATCAATGGATGACTTACAACTGTAGAAAATTGAAAAAAGGCATTAAGTTTTTTTCCTCCTCCAGAGAGTTTTTTTCAGTATGATATGATAGAGGTACCCAGGGATTAGGAAAAAAGCAACTATCCTATTGCTTACTACTGAGCAGACAGGTAAGGGATCTGAAGCCTACCGAAGGGAACATGGCCCTCCATGGGGTGTCCTCAGTGCTGACAGGCTAGCAAGATACAGAATATATATCAAAAGGGAGCTTGGGGCTTTAAAAATAGGGCACAAACTTTTGCCCAAACTTAATGCTGCTTCCAGTTATTTATATCAGCCCTTTAATTTTGTTTCTCTTCCTCATTTCTGGTATCTGTATATGACCATCAATATACTGGGCTCTACAGAGTATGAAAGATACATGAGGTAGGGTCTCTGTCATTAAAATATCCATTGATGTTTAGAGTGGCAGAAATAAGAGACATGAAATAAGAGTAATTTAGTGTTAAATTCTACCATTGATTACATGATAGCATTTTAGATATAGGAGACTGGGGTTGACTGAAGTCATTGGGAAACATAGTCAGCCCATGTAATTTACAGAGTTTTGGGTGATAGGTGTAATGAAGATAAATGGATGAAGAAGAAAGTGCTTTCTGAGTAGGAAAAGGGCAAAATCAAAAGAATTGGTGTGACTTGTATGACTTACTTCTATACAATGTGTTATATTAGTTTGCTTGGGCTGCCTTAACAGAATACCACAGACTAGATAGCTTAAACAACAGAAATTAATTTTCTCACAGTTCTACAAGCTAGAAATTCAAGATCAAGATTCTGGCAGGGTCGTTCTCTTCTGTTTCCTGGGCTTACAAGTGGCTGTCTTCTTCCTACATCTCCTGGTCTTCTGGGGGCCAGGGTACACTCCTTGTGTCTCTGCCCCTTCTGTAAGGACACCGGTGGTGTTAGATTAGGCTCAACCCTATGACTTCATCTAACCTTAATTACCTCCAAACAGAGTTGTTTTCAGAGTTAAGGCTTTAACATATGAATATTGAGCAGACACAATTCAGTGTGTAACACTTAGGTACCATGTACACAATTCTTGTTAGAAAGTACTGGAAAAGAACATTTAAGAGGAAGCAGACGTTTAATTGGCAAAATTGACCGCATTCAGACATTAGAGTAGATGACATTTTTTAAAGGATATATTTCTTTATCTATTATAATTCACAAATGTATAACATGCTAGTTGTAAAGTTACATATATACTTGCCTATTGTAAAATTTTATATATAAAGATAATACCGATCATGTGTATGTTGTGTGTGGGGAGTGTGTATGTGTGTGTGTATCCAATTGAGTATAAAAAGTTAGAAACATAAAAGAGTATAAAAATCAAAGTAAATATTATGTGTATTCTGCTGATATGAGACCAGAGAGTATAGGTCTTTTGTTTATTACTATATTTCTAATGCTTAGAAAAGTTTTCATCTTAAATAAACATCCAAGAAATATTGTTTAATGAGCAAATTAATATGAATTTTATGATTCTACACTATGTGTATATTTTTAATAATGTTTTCCTTCTTGACATTTACTTAGAAAAATTTTCCATGCCATAACAATTTTTTAAAATCTGATTTTTAAAGTGGTTCATGGTACATAGCATAAGGCTAATTTGCATAGTTATTCTCTTTTTTGTTGGAGTTTAGTGTTTTGTCTTTTGAATACACATTTATAAGTTCTTTTCACATGCCTTTATGTACACTTCTAGTGGTTTACCTAGGATTTTACCTAAGTAGATTAATTATGTTATTGCATATAACTGTTTAAATCTTTGATAAATATTGACAAATTGCTTTTAGGGAATTTTATTATGTTAAATATGTAACTTCCATCTTGCTGTATTAGTAGTGCCAATTATCACTTTTAACAAATTGCTTATTTTTTAGTTAAAGTACTGCATTTTTATTAACTATGCATTCCCCATTGTACATTGTTAATGAGGAAGGTGTTAGACGGAAATATTTTAATAAAATTTAACTACATGGAGTACTTAAAGATCTTGATGTCCAATATATCTATATTCAAATTTCAGCTAGGGTATAATAGGTATGTCTGGCAACTGTATTATTCTTTGCACTACTGTTTGCTCACCTGTTAAATGGCATAATAATGTCTACCTCACAAACCTACCATAAGAATTAAAGGAGAAAGTGTGTTTAAAGTATTTATCACTGAAGCTGGAATACACATGACATTCAGAGTAGTAGCTAGTATAATGAAAATAGGCAATAACAATAGGATCCTATTCTCATTATATACATATACCTATAAACACACATGCATGCATATGTATTTTTCTGCAGAGAAAAAGAATATAAAGATAAATAGGTTATCTGTGAGTAGTGGAATTAAAGCACATTTTTATTTCTATTCTACTCATTTTGTGTTTTATAGTTTTTGAAAAACAAGTTTGTACTGTACTTGATAGACAAAGCATGTGAATTGACATCATGGCCATATTTTAAGGAAGAACTGAAGGTTTGAGGCTCATTTAGAGAATGTCTAAAACTCTAGTTACCCAATAACATGGTTACAGCCTCGTGAACTAGAAAATAAACAATCTGTCAGATGTTTTAATGGAAGAAAGAAAAAGTTACTTGAGATTTTTAGGTATAGAGACCAATTAGAAGGAAGAATCAAAGATGATCTTATGTTGGAGGACGATGCTATGTTTGTGTCCTTAACAAAAAGTGTAATGGGGCACAACAGTTGACTACGAAGTCCCTGAAGGATGGAAACATGTACAGGTGAATCTTTAGCTCTCAATGGTAATCACGTTTGGAAAAAAGCTTTATGTGCAGATTGATGCAAGATTATATATATATATGTATAGATATATATATATATCACTAGTAGAACCTGCTTGAAAGATACTTTATTTGGTTCACATAAAGATAGCAGTCAAATTTGTTATTGCTATCCTACAGAACACTGATAGAATTTCTACTGAATTTTCCTTTCTGATATATAACGTAAAGTTTGAGTATCTATTGTTACTATTCTTAACAAGAAGCAAATGAGTAAAATTGCAAGTCAGTGTTCTATACAGGTAACTTTCCGACTTCATGTGCAGTGATGAAATTTATTCTTCAACCCACAATTAACAAATGTGTTTTTTAGTCCTTTTATGATGAAATGATAAAATGTTCATTTAGAAGAATTAGCTACCAAAATGCAAATGCTCTGTTAATGCATGTTAAATAGTTCTATTTAATCATCCCCAAATTACAACTCAGATAATTATCTGTTCTTATACTTTTTATTTAAGCTTGTCAGTAGTAGATTAGTATAACAGGAATTCTAAAACAAGCACATTGACAAATTATGCCTAAATTCTCAAACTTGGCCGCCTCATTTTACATTGTGTACTTCCTTATTCTTTGTTTAAATTGTTTTACAATAAAGACCATATCCCATGTGTGATATATAAATTCTCCACACATTACCAATAGAACCGTGTTTTACTTAAAATTCTTTATTTCACCTTCTTACAAAAAGAGTAAACAGAGGGGAAGTTGTAAAAATGGTTCCCTCTTAAACATGGTAGTTAGAAGTGATATTGTTGGCTTGATTTTATTCTAAATTGTGTCATCTTTGGAGTGTATCCGAACATTACTAGAAGTACTTAAGGATAAAAAATAAACTGCCCTCGGTGGAAAAGGACATGTATTTGTTGTTGATTGTTTTCACGGCACATGAGCCCCTCCTTGCTGTGCTAAAATTGTTTTTACTTGCAGTTATCACTGAGAAAGGAAGTACGCTGTCTTTTCATGCTGTTTTAGAAAATGAGTTGTCAGTTGATTATATTTCATTACTAGTGTGTGGTGAAAGCGAGTTGGACATATTCAAATTTATATCAGTTTTAATGTATAGACTTGATTAAGACTTGAAATTATCTCAGTCTGTCTTTAACGTCGTGACCTGCGCCACTGCCCTGGCTGACGTGGGGCCTGGTTGTCTTGCAGCTCAGTGTGGTGGCGCTATGTCGGATTTCAGTGGCGTGATCCTCAGCCCTGGGTTTCCGGGCAACTACCCCAGCAGCTTGGATTGCACCTGGACCATAAAGCTGCCCGTAGGTTTCGGTACGTATATCCAAAACAGGTGGAAATGTTTGCGATATCATTAAAAGCATCCTTAAAAAGAAACATCAACGTCTCATATAAAATATTCACAAATGATAGTTTAAGTTGGATTTCATACAGTTATGTAACATTGAGGAGTGATAGTTGGGTAAATCCTTGATAAGCCAAACACATTTCAACTGGAATACTGGGATAAGTGAAAGAATATAGTTATTTTTTAATTTGATAGGTGGATAGATAGAAAGATAACTTTATGATGTTTTTCTATTTGATATGTATGGATGTAGCCTGAACTGTGACTTTAAAGAGTCAGCCCTAGAAAGAGGGTCAGGCTCTGGGGAACAGGAAAGAAATTCTAGATAAACAGTGACACGGAAAGAGGCAGGGGAGAAAGCTAAAGAAATTCAGCAAGCCCGAACACTGTGTTATTGGCCTGAAGTTTTGCGAGAACAGAAAGTCACTGAAAAAGGATATGTAGGGGCTTTCTAATGAGGATTCTTCTGGCTACAACATGTGAACAATTCGAAGTAGTCGAGTTCTACAGCCAATGATTAAAAGAGAATACTGACAGCCCAGCCTTTGTGGCTCAGTGGACTGAGCATCCTCCCATGGACTGAGAGGTTCCGGTTCGATTCCCAGTCAGGTCACACCCCTGGGGTTCAGGCTCGATCCCCAATGGGGGGAGTGCAGGAAGCAGCCAATCAATGTTTTTATCTCTCTCACCCTTCCTCTCTCTCTCTCTCTCAAAAAAAAATAAATAAATAAAAACATATTTAAAACAAAACAAAACTGATGTATATAAATAATAGATTTGAGCCTGTATGGTTATTCTTCTGTGTCTTTTACTAGTCACTTAAGAAGGCTCATCCCATGTTGCTTTTGGAGCTAAATGATTATGTTAAAACTAATAGTGTTATTATTTCAGTTTACCTGCTGCTATTGCTTCCTTGATTTTAAAAACCAAGTTCATTAAAAATTAAACACATCTAATTTTTATTCAACACATCTATTAAAAAGAAGACACATCTCACCCTGTCCAGTGGCTTAGTTGGTTGGGACGTCACCCTGTACACCAAAAGGTTGCAGTTTTGATCCCAGGACAGGGTGCGCGTATGGGCGTATGGGAGGTAACGGTGCGCATATGGGAGGTAACTGACTGATGTTTCTCTCTTATATCTATGTTTCTCTCTCTCTCTCTCTCTCTCTCTCTCTCTCTCCCCCTCTCTCTTAAAAAAAAAAAATCAGTGAAAGTGTCCTCAGGCGAGAATTTAAAAAAAAGACACCTTTATCTTAGAAATGAAAACATAAGAGACTGTTTCTGATTTGATTACATTTAAATAACCTCCCTGTTTTCTTTGAGTTTGGGCAATCAAAATCAAATATTAGTTCTAATGTATTTGAATTGATAGTTCATACATTTTTTAAAAGAAAATTGAAAACAGATCAACAATTACAGAAGTATTGTCACGTGCTCGTGAAACAATTTTTGCAAGATAATTGGTGAAAGGAGACTTGGAGAAACATTTTAGAAAAAGTATGCATATCTTGGGGCCTCACGTATTAAGGTATCGTGTCCAAATTCTAAGAACTTTGTCTGATTCAGCAGTATGTTTCATATTTTAAAGCACATTTTCAGCATTTCCCATTTTTACTTATTTACAGAACTCTTTTTCCATGTAACTCTTTTTTGAGTAACAAAATACGATTTTGAGAATTCCTGTATAGTTATTAAGAGCGAGAACTCAAGAGCCAGTGTGTCTGAGTTTGTATTTCAGCTTTTTGAAGTTGTATGAACTTAGCATATTTGTCTGGCTTTTCCATGCCTCTGTTTCCTCACCGTCATGAGTAACTGTTAGTATGAAATAGGTTAGCATACACAAACACTTAGAACAGTGCCTAGAAAAAAGAAAACATTCTATAAATGTCAGATTTTATTATTAACGATTGGGAAACGGTAGTTGTGAGAAAAACACCAAATTTACTGAAACTGACTATTAATCGAATTCCGCAAACATACCTTAATGAGGTTTTTATTTCATTTTTTTCCATCCCAGAGACATTTTACTATCTCACATTTTAGTTTTGTTATAAAGATATTGAGACTATGTTGCAATTTGACAACATAGAACACCTATCACTGGATTTTACTGAAACTGTTGCATAAAATTTAGCATTATCTTCTGACAAGCAAAGTACTAAAAGAGCACACTGGTAAATAATGTGCCTCTGAATGATATTTTAGAGGAGTTAATTAATCCCCTATAGGTGAATGACTAATTCCTAACACAGTTAAGGAATCTGATTGCATTATTATGTAAAAACTTTGCACTTATATTTTGGCCTCAAGTTGGCATTTTACAAAATACAAATTATTGAGTGACTTTTCACCTTTTAAAGTTGGTTGGTATAATTTAAAATGATATTAAGAGCAAGAAAGTCACTTTCTTGATTAGTTTGCTCTGGTGACATTGTAGTAAAATGAAAGACATTTTCTCATGTGACAACTAGTGGGCATTTGAGAGCAGTAGTGTTACTTTGAAGTGTAGCACAGTTAATTGTCCTGGGCAGACAGCAAACCCATAGCCCAGATCCAGAGAGTCTGCCTCAGCCTAAATGGAAACACATTCTAAGTGCCTGAATGTAAGTAAGTGCATTTGTGTGTGTGTGTGTGCATTTAATTGGTTAAAAAAATAAATAAATAAAGTAGTATTATGTTTGCTTTTCTTATTTAGGTGTACATCTCCAGTTTGTAAATTTTTCTACAGAAACTATACATGATTATTTGGAAGTAAGAAGTGGAACCTCAGAAACTAGTACTGTTATTGGGCGACTTAGTGGTCCTCAAACACCATCTTCTTTATTCAGCACGACTCATGAAACCAGCCTGTATTTTCACAGTGACTATTCACAAAACAAACAAGGGTTCCACATTGTGTACCAAGGTGAGATGGATAATAAAAAGTGAAAGTTTATTTAGCCCCAGATAAGTTATTAGCAATCTAACTCTAAGTATTTTCTATATTCTCTTAGAAATAGAACCTAAATCAAGACAAACTTCAATTAGCAAGAATTTTTAAATAATGCAATTTTCAGGCAACTATAGAGGGGGAATGATGTCTTTCTGAGGCCTTAGAAAATCTTAACAATGAAAAAAGATCGAATTAGTCTTAATGCACAGTGAAATTAAGCACCTCGAGGCAAGGCAGTTAAGCAAGGAAGCTGGATAACAAAGTTTTATCTTTGCTTTTATATCAAAATGAGAGTATTGAAAAGATGTTTTGTAATACCCATCTATTATATGGAAAATTATGTTCTCTTACTTTTAATGATAGAATATGACATTCTTTGATTCCACTCTGTAGTCCTGAGAATAGAAAATAAGTACTTTGAAAATTAAATTATATTAGGTCTATTTCTAATATAGAAGTGCTGCATGACCCTGAGCAAGATTTTTATCCTTTTTGAATAGTTTTGACTTGGGTAGACCTAGAATCAAATGTTGATTCTCCCTTTTCAATCTAAAGTGGCCTAGGGCTCAACTCCGTATTTTTATTTGCATGATGCAACAGCGTTAGTAGCTCTCAGATAAATTGCTTTGAACTTTATATGGTACAATGAATGTAAAATGTATACCATGGTATATATCATTAGTAATTATTTAGTGTATTTTAGCTATGTTTATTATTATATTATTTTAGATCTTAAAAGCTAAGATTTAAAATTAATTATTTAAAGTTATGAAAAAGGGGGACATCTGTAATACTTTAAATAGTAAAAAAATAAAAATAAAATTATAGTATTTTACACAAATAATGCAATTCCAATGACTTCAAAGATTAATCAAAATAACTTAAAATGTGATTACCTCTCTTCTCTAATTATCAAAGGACTTCATGAGTATGTAATATTTTTTATTGTGATTTCTAAGCAGGGGTCTTTTTGTTGTTCAATGACTTATCTCAAGTACCTAGAACAATAAGAGCACAGTAAATATTTGCTGAATAAAGGTACATACCCAACAGGGCATTTACATATAGCTAAAATAGACATCGCAACATCCAACTACATGGGTCTTAATAATTGAAATGTGTGTTGTATTTGCAGACATAACGTAGGACCACTACATCTGACATCATCCTTTACATAACACAGGAGTCATGTCTCCTATCTCACAGTACAGAAGTAACTATGTTCCAAAAGAACTTAATTATCTCAGAAACAACTGGGCAACAACTGATTTTCTTCTTTGCTGCTAGACGACTCAGAGCTAGTTTGTGTTCCTTCTCTAGCAAGTATGCAGGGCCTTATTCCAGCACTTTGCTGTTTAACTTAAACCTGGCTTCATGTCCTTATTTCACTCTGTCTCTCAAATCATACTTTTATTTGAATGATGTGAAACTGGAATTTGACCTTTATTAACTGCATTTTTTTAGTCAATATATCCTTGAAAAAAGATTCATTATTTACATAATAAAAGCATAAAATATGTAGAATCTGTCACTCTTATTGATCTAATATTAATATTATCGACATGAGCCATAATGTATTACAAGCATCACTACATATTATTTGTGAATCTCATTGAATTTTAAAACTATCACTTCTAGTGCTTCATTGACATTATTGAGCTGATGACATTTTTAGAAATAGATTATACAGAGTCACAGAACCAATCTTACTATTAAATGGTCTTGCAATTAGACTTTAAGAACTTTCCGAAATTTGGAAAAATGCATGGTATACTTACACTGTTTATAGGCTCAAAATTTATTCAGCAGTGTTTATTAAGCACTTACTATGTGAAGGGCAATGGGCAAGGATTCTAGGATACAATGATAAACAAAAGAAACAGGAACGTTGATCTCATGCAGACTGTCGAGCGAAAGGAATACGAACAAAGGAGCATGCGGTTATACTGCACTGCCCCAAAAGTCATGACACCCAATGTACAAAATTTGTATCAGCAGTAAATGTGTTTCCTCGTACTTTATATTATTAAATAACTATGTTGAGAAACTCAACAGTGGCTTATTTCTTTTAAAGAAGAAAAGAGTAAAACTAAAATCCAAAAAGGCTCAGAATTCAGCATCCATGTGTGCTTGTTTTATTTTATGTATGTGCTTTGTAACTAGGAAGCACTTACACTCTATGTAAAGGAATCAGGATATGTTTCACTGAAGTTGTGGCCGTAAGAGTAGCTTACATTTTCATTAAAACTTATCATTTAGATAGATTATATAAGTGGTTGAAGACACTGAATTCATCTTTATGAATTGTACTAATATTTAATGTGAAAATTGTAAGCGTGAAAAGAAATTTATATACTCTCCTTGATATCATAAACCTGAGTTGCTCTTTATAACCAATTGTAAGCAGCCCTGCATCTATTTTGCGAGTTGCAAATGGTACCCATTTGGGGACTTTCAAAATTCAGAAAGGAACAATATGTTTCTTTTTCCCTTTTGCAGCCTATCAGTTGCAAAGCTGTCCTGATCCACGCCCATTTCGCAATGGCTTTGTAATTGGCAATGATTTCACAGTGGGTCAAACCATTTCATTTGAATGTTTCCCTGGATACACACTCATTGGAAATTCGGCTCTCACTTGCCTTCATGGAGTGAGTCGTAATTGGAATCATCCACTTCCAAGGTGTGAAGGTATGCTTCATCTATGTTTAATTATTTGGGTTTTGTCTTCCTCTTTAAATAGCTGCTAAACAGACAGTCTCTCTTTCAATTGAATTATGATAGTTAGTACATAGATTAAATCCTTAAGGCTCCATAATGAATAACTGATTTTATTATTAATGGCAGAAGCCCTAACCTTCCCCATTGCAAGTGAAAATAAAGTTATGACTTTAGGACTCTTCCTGTGTGTTTGTGCATGTATTTAATAGTCATTCTTATGTACACCAATAATCTAGACATTGCCACTGAATTTGGGTTCATTTTCTTTAAAAAAAATGTTTAAATAAAAATGCCTTAAACCTCTTATAAGGATATATATACATATTTGGTATAAGACAAATAAGAGTTGAACAGTGTATATTTTGATACACTGTTTGGAAAAAGAGAAGACAATTTAATTTACTAATCTAGTAACAGTTAATAAAATTGACTGTGTATCATGCTTCATATAGAAAAATAAATACAAGATGACAATATTTTGTTTATGGATTGCAAATTTATTTTATATACCTAACTGAGGTAAGAACATAATCAGATGAATTTTGTACAGCTTAAGAGGGATGAAACATTGGCCCTTTTCTCTGTAATCAATTCATTGTTATTTTATTTTAACCTTTTGCCTTGTATCTTTCCTGCAGCTCTTTGTGGAGGGAATATAACTGCCATGAATGGCACCATTTACTCTCCTGGGTATCCAGATGAATACCCCAACTTCCAGGATTGCTTTTGGCTTGTGCGAGTGCCCCCTGGGAATGGAATCTACATCAACTTCACTGTCCTTCAGACAGAGCCTGTCTATGATTTCATTACTGTATGGTAAGCCAGGGCCATTGTTACTGACTGATTCAACTACACATAATAGTGAAACAAGGTAGGGGTGAAAATATATCACAATCCTCTGTAAACAGAAATTGCCATCTGATATTTGAATTGCTGTGACTGAGAGTGACAGTGTGTGTTTTGTAGAATGAGATGAAGAAGAGAAATAGATTTAGGCTTATTTGCCCAAACAGTAGCTAAACACTTTGAACAAAAACTTTATATGTGGGAAAACATTTTGATTTATCATTAAACTGAGATGCAAAAACAAGGAATTAATATCAGGGTAAGTTTAAGGTAAGAAAGTTTTCTATTTACAAAACTAGTAAAAATTAAAAACCTATATTTGAATCCCAATTATATAATATAACGTTTGAATTTCTGACATAATAATTTATTATAAAATATATTTGTATTCTGTTAATTGAAACACCTTTATTTAAAAATATATTATAAAAAATATCTGAATTATTTATTGACAATTGGTTAATAGAATTACTGTATAAATTATAAGATTACTTCTAAATTTAACAGTCTATAATACTCAAGATTATTTTAAAGAAAATAAAGGGAGGGTATACCTCAAACATTTGGGAGGCTCTGGATTGTGGTTAGGAAACCAAAGATAGTGTTATTGATTATAAGCAATAGAGTGCATTTCATTTAGGTAAAAATATAATCTATTTTTATACTTTACATGTATAAACATTATCCCCTTTATGACATAAAGTATATCAATATGATTCGGCACTCATTGGTGTCTTTATCATCTCATATACAATACCTTTATTAAACTTTTTGGAAAACTCTCCAAAAAGTTGATCTTAATTTTTCTCCCTTCTCTCCTCTGTCTCTCTCTAATAGGGATGGGCCCGATCAAAACTCACCTCAGATCGGGCAGTTCAGTGGCAATACTGCTTTGGAATCAGTCTATAGCACTTCGAACCAGATTCTAGTCAAGTTCCACAGTGATTTCACAACAAGTGGCTTTTTTGTGCTCAGTTATCATGGTTAGTATTATCTAAGAGTTTATATTTCATTTAGTACTGTTTAAAACTGTCCTGGAAAACTGAATGAAAACATATTTAACCAATGACTGGAAAGGTATTAGAATTTGACACTTTTTTATTACTTCAAATACTTTTACTTGCAAAGGGTAACTTCTCAGCATTTAGGGACATTAAAATGTAAACAAATGGAAACAGGAAATAAATCACTCAGTAATTACCCAGTACAAAATAATCATTTTTTTCACATGGAGACCAATAAAAGAAAACCAGCTGCTTATATTTTATCGCACGTAACTTTGAGACATTAATAGGTTTTTCAATACAAAGTGTTTAATCTATTCAACCTGCTGTGAATCTAAAACTAGCATCCAGTATCTTTATGCTTTGAATTATATTACTCATTCATTTATATTCTAGTTTCAAAACTGTATCTATTCTAGAATTTCACAGTTTTAAGGGACTATTCCAGATTATTACGTTCATAGCTTTTATGCCTGTGGAATAATTTAAGAAGAGTTTCAATTTTAATTCTTTGTATACTTCTAGGTCTTCTCTTCATCATGGTAACTTTTTTGAAAAGACATTCAGATGGTTTCACAGTTAAAAAAATTTTATTTCTTGTATCTCAAATTGATTTTATTTCATTATAAATAAGAAAATGTTAATTTGTTTCTAATGATTGCATACCTTTACCTGCAAGGACCATACCTCCATGAAACCCATTCTGCTTCATATGACTTTGTCAGACCAGTTCAATCAGTATCTCACAAGATCAGTAAGCTACTGAATTAAATTTGCAAGCTGTATATAAATTTACACTGTGAACGTGAGCTCCGTACATTGCGTTAATATATCATTTAATGGTTTTTATCTTTTTAAACACAAAGTAAGGCTTTGATCAAATCTTACATTCCATGAAAAAGATGGTAAGTCAAATTTGGTTATGCTCACATTTAAAGCACGTCAGGTTTAGATATGGTCAGAGCATCACCTAGAAAAGATTTGATTTGCTTAATCTCAGCACTTATCAGCCAGTAGACAGTGCCCAGCTTATATTTCCGTAGAGCGCACAGCTGCTAGGGCACCAAGTACACTCCGGCATAGCCAATGAGAAAGCAGCATTCAGTCAGATGGCTTTTGTTCGGCTTTTCAAAAGATAACTCATTTGCCTTTTATATTGACTTGGACATTGATGCTGGCAGGAATTAAATATAGTCTAAGACTGTAACAACAGTTTTATTACTTTATCATAACTAAAAAAAATCCCAGTAAATTAAATAATAAAGTTAAAAAATGAATTAGTTGCTGAACTCCATGTAGTACATTTCTCTCCTCCTGGATCCCTGCATATATATTTTATTCTTTTATGTCTTGCCTGAAAAAATGACAAAGAAGGGACTAATTTACTGATGGACTATAAAAACCATAAGATAACTTTATAGGAAATGTAAAATTCTTGTAAAACTTAGGACACATTTCAAAGGGAAAATATTGTCAGATAAAAAGATAGCTCTTTGTGTGTTTCCACATAGAAAATACTAGGGTTACAGAATGTATATATAGACACATAAAAATGAATATATGAATGTGGATTTACATAGACACATATGTGAATGTATACATATATTCTCACACCAAAATATGTTTAACTAAACTGTTTTGCAACTAGCTTTGAGTCATGTGTAATAAAAACAAATTAACTTAGGAATGAGATCGAGTATTTATTTAGTGCTTAGTTTTCCAATTGACTTTGGACAAGTTACCCTTTGGTCTTCACTTTTGTTAGCTGTAAAGAAAGCATCATGGTGGGAATGCTGAGATTAATGAGATACTGTATATGTAGAAGTTGTTCCAATTACTGGCATAAATTAGATTGAAGCATATGATACCCTTGGTCAGAGATGCTCAATCGTGGCAATTTTGCGTAGCTCAACCCAGATGATCGCTGTAGTTATTACCGTGATCAGCATTAGGTGGCGGAGATGATAGGAGAACTGGAGACAATGGGTAATGTGCTATATGTACTGTTATTATAGTGCCTGACAGAGCAGATGTTCAGTACATTTCCTTTCCTTACCACACCTTATCTCACATTTTAGATTTTCTAATAGAGCATTTATGTTATGCTTTACATTTCATAATAAGGCACATTTACCAGAGCCTAGAGAATCTTAACACTTGAATCAACATCTCTGGAAATTTTATCCAAACCTTAAAGTGACCTTGGATTTTGGGGATGTAGCCAAGGCTCGTGTTAAAATCGACAGGTGCCTCACATTCCAACAGCTCTCGTAGGGTAATTTTCCTAAGCACTGCTTTCACCTTGACTCACCTTGTCAGGAGTGCGTGATGCCTACATTAAATCAAATTTAAAGCTGCCCTATAATCTGGCTCAGCGAATCTTAATCCCCAGAGTCTATCTGTTCTGACTCCATGTAGATTAGTTATCTCACCTCCTCCTGAACTTCGATTCCTAAATGGTTTCTTACTTATCTTCAGTTCTTGAAGTCTCCCCATCTTAAGTCCTATCTCCTCCATTTCTTGATAATTGGAGTTCATAGTTATCCCTACCATCGTCTCTATAATGCACTTTTTTAATACCAAACCTGTGAGAACTTAATTATGGTATGGTATTGTTTAATAGACCTATAAGTTTAATAATAGTGAATGCATTTTTTTCAAAAAGAGATTTTTTTAAATTGATTTTTAAGAAAGAGGGAAAGGGAGAGAGAGAGGGAAACATCGATCACTTGCCTCCTGCACGCACCCAACCAGGGCAGAATCAGACCAGCAACATGGGTGTGTGCCCTGACCAGGAACCCGCAACCTTTCTGTGCGGGGACAACGCCAGCCAACTGAGCCACACCGGGCAGGGCTCACGAACGCATTTGAAGACACATCATATTTCTGCGTTGTAGCCCTTTCATATTTTTATTATTGACTGATTGGTTGACTTACTATGTTTTAGTCTTACAGTGGGAAGTGTGTTCAGATTCTTTCAAACAAGTTGCTTAACTGAATTTTTTTGCTGTACGAGTGACAACTTTTAAAAAGATTATTTTACCATATGTAGATGTGTGCCTATTCCCTGTCACAGAAACAAATAAAGGATTCCTGTTTTCAAATTAGTATTAATACAATTAATACAGTACATCTAAAAATATAATATTCATATTCAGGGTCCATATTCAGCAACTATAGTTTATGCCAAAGTGAACTCTCATTTCAAGTTGTTATTTTTTAATAAGTAAACCAGTAAATGATTTTGTATTTAACACTTATTTTAAGCTGATTGAGTATAGCTAAGCTGATTGACCTACTCCCCTATTTAATTTTCTTTAAATTTTATATTGATTTAATAGCTCCTTTTGTTATGCCCTGCCCTACTAAGTTAGAAGTGGTTTTCTTAGGACTTGAGTATTTATTGATAAATCTGACATAAATATTTTTATATATTTTCTTAAGGTCACATTAATCATTTAGGTTTTAGTTATTAAGGTATTTTAAATATGTTTGAAAAGAGGAAAAAAACTGTATTTTTCTCTCTATCCTGACTTCCTTTATGAGATCTAGCCAGCCATCTGTCTTTTAGAAAATATCACTTTCATGAAGCCTTTCATGATCAAAAATAACATTCATAAAAAGCTTTGCAGAATGTAATTTCTGTGCAATGAAAAAGAGGACAGGCATACACATCGAGGCACTTTAGCTCAGCTATCCTATCTCCTTCATCAGAGGAAATGTTTTTATCTCTATCGCTGACTTTTCTTGATATCTGCCATAGAGTCAAGATGGAGTTGGCTTATAATATATAATAACAGCATTCAGTGCTAATCAGTGACTCTTTGAAAGTAAACGACACAAAACCCTTTGAACCACATGTTTTGGCAGACACTGACTTTGTGTGGCGCTCATTGTAACAGCCATAGCTGCCATTTACAGAAAACTTAATATTCCCGGAACTATGCCGGGCACTTCCCATGTATTATTGCTCATTTTTGTAATAAGTCTGCAAGATAAGCATTATGATTCCAATTTTAATAATCAAAGAATTGAATGAAAAAAATTGTACGCTACATAAAACCAGAGAACTAATAAATAGAACGGCTGCTTGTAATTCAACATAGGTCTTTCTGACTCCAAAGAATGACCTCTTTTTAAATAATGTTGACAACAGCAGTGGTAAAATACGTGCCAGGCAATGTCCAAACTGGTATTATCTCATGCATCGATTATATGTAATGGTATATAAGTGTGTGTTTTCTTTAAAAATCTAGCAAAAATGATTTTCATTTTTAACAAGATGATAGGTCATCTTATTTTCTAGAAAATACCTCTTCTAATTACAACTCAAAGCTTCACACTTAGTGCTCCTCCAAGCTAACTGCAATATGTTGGTGGATTTATCACAACTTAGTGAGTTTTCTTCCTAGGTCCCAAAATGTGCTATGGTCACTGTGTGAAGGGAAAACAGGTTTTACTGAGGGTCTGACGTACGCCAATCAAAACAATTAGAAGGCTGTAGTATATACAGAATACGTATTTATTAATTTAAAACAAACGTTATCATTTTAATGTTTAAATCTATTATCCAGGTCACCTCTTTTTCTAATATCAAAGTATTAGGGTACCTCAATTTACATTTAGAAGATTTTTCCTCTTCATTTGAACAAGAAGAGCATTTAAACACCCTAAATCTGCTTTCAAATGGAGATGCTTAAACTTGTTTTATATAACTTTTGAACTAACATTGCCATAGTTACATAACAACATGTAATTATCAGTGCTTTTTCTCCTCCAAATTTTTTCCATATCATGAAATTATTATACTTGAACTAATCTGAGTCACCACTGGTTTAGAGAATGAATGGCAATTTGCCAGTGTTCTGTCTGTGTTCTTTGAAGAAGCCTTTAATAGCTCAGTTGGACTGAAGTAGATAAATACAGCATTTTTTTTTTCTGAATTAGGTTGGATGTCTTATTACAAAATAAATAGGAAA